AACGGTTCGAAATGCTAAAGAGCGAGATGTGACGCTTCGCCAAAAAAAGTTGTTAGTAAAAGATATTGTTTTATTTTTGACATCCTGCCTTCGTGGCTAAGGGTTGTATTAATTATACAGAGCCAGACACAGTTCCTTTGTGCAGGGAGTTATCCTGAAGTGTTTAGTATAAGGAACCCGCCTTGTAATGCCGAAGACGACCCACATGCCGAATACATCGTCATCGAAGACAGGTTTAGGGGCTACTGAGGGAGTCCTGGATTAGGAGGTTCTTGGGTGTCCGCGCTATTTGATATGGGCCGTGAAGATACAAGCAGAAGACTTTCCCCCATGTCCGGGTAGGACTCCCATATGCGTGGATGGCAAGATTGGTGTTCGGATATGTTATTTCCTTCCCCCATAAACCAACTTTGTACAACCCTAGCCCCCTCCGGTGTGTATATAAACCAAAGGGCTCAGTCCGTAGAGGCTATCAGACTTCTCATAGGCTAGACAGCTAGGGTTTAGCCTTTACAATCTTGTGGTAGATCAACTCTTGTAACCCCTCTACTCATTGAATACAATTAAGCAAGATGTAGGGTTTTACCTTCTTTAAGAGGGCCCGAACCTGGGTAAACATTGTTTCCCATCATCCCTTGTTACCATCGATCCTCAGACGCACAGTTCGGGACCCCCTACCCGAGATCTGCCAGTTTTGACACCGACAGGGGGAGCCGTGGGCACTCCAAACGACCGCTCAAACAAGCGCATGCGGTCGCATGGAACATCACCTTTCACTCTGGTGCACCTATTAACAATGCTCTCTTTAGGAAAGTTGGCCCAATTGGCTTGATTTGTAGCAATCTCATTTGGTTTCCTTCCAAATGTGATATTTCCTGCCATCCAAAGGTCAAAGTAGATTTTCCTCTCTTTTGTTGGATTAGCATTAAATATTTGAAGAATAACAAAAATCCAATGAAACCAAATGGAAATCACTATGAAAAACATCGTAAATTCTCAAGCCATCAATGCAATGATCTTATCCGAGATCAATCTGATATAATTCTTGTGGTGTGTTTGTTGGGATCTAATGATTTGTGGATTTGTAATCACATTGTTCATTGAATATAAATGAATCTTTTGAAGTTTCTTTGATGTATGATTGAGTAGTTATGTATGCTTTCTGAGTTATTTATCTTCTCTAGCCAAGATAGATGGTAATTCTTTAGAGGGAGTGGTGCATAGTGCTACTTGTGAGCTGCGTTGGGATTTCCCTGAAGAGGAGGGGATGATGTAGTACAGTAGAGATAACTATTTCCCACAGTTATGAAACCAAGGTCATCAATCCAGTAAGTCAACCAAGCAATACTATGTAAACAACACCTGCACACAAACAACAAATACTTGTAACCCAACTCGTAGAGGGGTTGTCAATCCCTCAACGGTATTGAGAAAGATTAAATTGTATAGGTTTTGATAAATATATCTAACAAAAATACAAAATAAAATAACTAAAAGAAAATTGCAGCAAGGTATTTTTGGTTTTAATACATAATAGAAAATAGACTCGGGGGCTGTAGTTTTCACTAGAGGCTTCTCTCGGGAAAATAGCATACGGTGGGTAAACAAATTACTGTTTGGCAATTGATATAAAAGTGAATAGTTATGACGATATCCAAGGCAATGATCATGTATATAGGCATCACGTCCAAGATTAGTAGACCGACTCCTGCCTGCATCTACTACTATTACTCCATGCATCGACTGTTATCTAGCATGCATCTAGTGTATTAAGTTCATGAAAGAACGGAGTAATACCTTAAAAAATATGACATGATGTAGACAAGATAAACTCGCGTATGAGTAAACCCCGTCTTTTTACCCTTAATAGCAACGATACATGTGTGTCATGTCTCTTTCTGTCACTGAGATTGAGTACCGCAAGATCGAACCCATCACAAAGTATCTCTTCCCATGGCTAGAAAAATCAATCTAGTTGGCCAAACTAAACCAATAAATCAGAGAAGAAATATGAGGCTATAACAATCATGCATAAAAGAGTTTAGAGAAAACTCAAATAATGTTCATGGATAGATCTGATCATAAACTCACAATTCATCAGATTCCAACAAACACACCGCAAAAAGTCATTACATCAAATAGATCTCCAAGAACATCGAGGAGAACATTGTATCGAAGATCAAAAAGAGAGAATAAGCCATCTAGCTACTAACTACGGACCCTAGAACTGTGGTAAACTACTCATGCATCATCGGAAGGCAGTGAGGATGATGAAGAACCCCTCCATGATTGTTTCCCCCTCTGGCAAAGTGCCGGAAAGGGCCTCTAGATTGGATCTCGTGGTTCTGGAACTTGCGGTAGCGGAAAAAGTATTTCATGGACTCCCCTAAGTTTTTTTTTTGAGATTTTAGAGTATTTATAGAGGTGGAGGTAGGTCAAGACGGTGCCCATGGGCTCCACTACCTACAATTGCGCGTTAGAGGCCCCTGGCGCGCCCTGGTGCCTAGTGGGCCCCACTTTCATCTTCTCATGGCCTCGAGAAGCTTCCAGGGCTCTTATCACCAGAAAAAATCTCCAAATACTTTAGTGGCATTTGGACTTCATTTGGTATTGATATTCTGCAAAGTAAAAAAACAAGCAAAAATAGCATTGACAATGGGCACTAAGTTAATAGGTTAGTCCACCCAAAATGATATAAAGTTGCATGTAAATGTATATAAAACATCCAAGATTGATAATATAATAGCATGGAACAATAAAAAATTATGGATAAATTGTAGACGTATCACATAGTAGTGGGTTCAACCTCACGGTGATCTATATCCCAGTGACAGAATGGGGAGAAAGAACGTGATGTGTTGTTGCTACTAAGGATAAAACGGCCGGCATTGATCTTATTGCTTGGTTTCGTTCTGTCTACATCATGTCATCTTGCTTATTGCGTTACTATGTTTTTCATTAAACTTAAGACCTTCAGATGCAATGCTGGATAGCGGTTTTAGAGTGGAGTAATAGTATTAGATGTAGTTGGATTACGGTGTACTTGTCACGGACGTGATGCCTATATGAGATTATGCCATGAATAATCATAGTTATGAGTGTTGTTATCTGTCAATTCTCCAACAGTAATTTGTTTAGCATGCCACTACCTACTTTTGAGAGAGAAGTCATTAGTGAACGTATGGCCCTCCGGTCCATTCTCTATTAATACTTGTGTTTCTCTATTTGCTCTTTTACTATTTTTGTCGTTTGCATTATCACTATTTGTCACTATTTACTTTTAACCTTGCAACTAGTAAGACGAGGGGACTGACAACCTCCTTGCGAAGTTGGGTATTTTGTTTGGGTGGAGATGATGTTTATCTTGGTAGCTTGTAGACTCCTACAAATTCGATTAAACCTTGATTCTTAACTGAGGAAAACATTTTCTACTGCCGTGTTACATCACCCTTTCTCCTCGAGGAAATCCAACAATTCCTACATGAGTAGCATGTTCCTGTTTAAGTCATGTTCATGTTTATAAGTATTTCTACTATTATGATGTGTTGTTCTATATAAATTATGATTAAATGTTTTTGCTTATGACTATGCATTGCTCAAGTTGATGTGTTACAAACATGGACATTTTTACCCGCAGGTACCAGTTTACCCTGTCAGGTGGCGGGTATGGGAAAAAATTATACCCATTGGAAAGTATGGGTACGGGTGATGGGTAAGCTCATGGGAGACGAGTAAGGGTATGGGTGGCTCCACCCATACCAAAACCCGGTGGGTGCCATCCCTAAGTATATCACGAAAACTGGCTACATTCTTTCTCATACAAATTATCTAAAAAAACAGATCACAATGATGGAACAACGAAGAAGATAGGGAGCAAAAGGTGACGATGGCACCTCGTGTCCATCGGACCTCCTCTATGAGCATCGCCATCAGAAGCATCACCATGCCGTCGGAAGACACTGCCCCTCGCCTGTGCCGCCATCGCACAACGAGCCCCCACATCATAAGCACACGAGCATGTCCTCCCTACACCACAACTCATGGCCTCGGAGTCGGTGAAGGATGGAGGCGGCCTCATCCGCAAGCCCACTCCACTGCTATCACGCCCGCTCTCCTCTGTGCCCATGCGTTGCACCGAAGCTCCACAGGAGCACCTCGCGACCGCTCCCCGCTTGCCCCGCCCTGATCTGGCCGAAATCTCGCTGTCGCCTCTCTTTGAATGTGTGATGGGAAAAGAAATGAGGCAGAGGAGATGAGTGAGTTGACTGTGACGAAAAATGGAGATGAGCTCGTTCGCCCCTCGCGTGAACGGTTTTTTCATAAGAGGTGGCAACAGTAGATGCGCCGAGATCCGTGCAACCAGATCCGACGGCGGTAAGCGCATCCGCCGGGAAACACGAAAAACCCGAGGTCGGCTAGTTAAAATTTCCCAACTAGAATCTGTAGAATCCGTAAAAAGGCTCCGTAACTCAAGCGTTAGTCGAGAAAATTAGGCACTGGTCGTGATCGTAAGTGAAGGAATTTCCCGTGGAAATGTACGGATATACTGTGGCATTTCCACACGATAAGAGGGAACCCATCCCGTTGCTCGTACTAGGCCGCACATAACGGAGCAACACGAAACGAAGCGAGCCATGCGGCCGAAAAAGAAGTCAAAGCCACATCCGCACCCGCCCTATAAAACACGCCACACCGAGCCCCGGAGCATCCCATTCTCCACGTGGCCATCCGCGGTAAGCCGGACCCCGAGCGTGTGACACAACACACAGGTGACAGGAGCCGGCCCACTCCCTCCTCTCCGTGCCAAGAAACCCACACCCACACCCGTTCCGTCCTCCTCTCCAAAATCCCCCAACCACCAGCCTCCTCCTCCTCCTCCCAGATCCGCCTCACCGCCCCGCCCCCAGATCCCCCACGCAGGCGAGCGAACGCGCGCGCAGGCCCAGATCCGCCGCCCCGCCGGAGCAGCCATGGCCAAGGAGGCCGGCGGCGAGGGGGCCATGTCGGAGTCGGTGCTCCGCAAGGTGCTCGTCTCCTACTGCTACGTCGCGGTGTGGATCTTCCTCTCCTTCACCGTCATCGTCTACAACAAGTACATCCTCGACCCCAAGATGTACAACTGGCCCTTCCCCATCTCGCTCACCATGGTGCACATGGCCTTCTGCTCCTCGCTCGCCGTCGCGCTCGTCCGCGTCTTCCGGGTCGTCGACCTCCCCTCCTCGCCCGCCATGACCACACAGCTCTACACCAGCTCCGTCCTCCCCATCGGCGCGCTCTACTCGCTCTCCCTCTGGTTCTCCAACTCCGCCTACATCTACCTCTCCGTCTCCTTCATCCAGATGCTCAAGGCGCTCATGCCCGTCGCCGTCTACTCCATAGGGGTGCTCTTCAAGAAGGAGACCTTCCGCTCCTCTGCCATGCTCAACATGCTCTCCATCTCCTTCGGCGTCGCCATCGCCGCCTACGGCGAGGCCCGCTTCGACCTCCGCGGCGTCGCGCTCCAGCTCGCCGCCGTCGCCTTCGAGGCCACCAGGCTCGTCCTCATCCAGATCCTCCTCACCTCCAAGGGGATCTCGCTCAACCCCATCACCTCGCTCTACTACGTCGCGCCCTGCTGCCTCGGCTTCCTCTTCCTGCCCTGGGTCTTCGTCGAGCTGCCCAGGCTGCGCGCCGTGGGCATGTTCGAGCCTGACTTCTTCGTCTTCGGCACCAACTCCCTCTGCGCATTCGCGCTCAACCTGGCCGTCTTCCTGCTCGTGGGCAAGACGTCGGCGCTCACCATGAACGTCGCCGGCGTTGTCAAGGACTGGCTGCTCATCGCCTTCTCCTGGTCCGTGATCCGGGACACGGTGACCCCGATCAACCTCTTCGGCTACGGGATCGCCTTCCTGGGCGTGGGCTACTACAACCACGTGAAGCTGCAGGCGCTCAAGGCCAAGGAGGCGCAGAAGAAGGTGGCGCAGGCGGACGAGGAGGCCGGCTCGCTGCTGCAGGAGCGCGACTCTCACGGCGAGCGCAAGACCGAGACCCAGTCATAGAGCTGCTCATCTGATCCGATCCGATCCAACAACACCAACAGCACGCCCAATTTGGTTGGTTCTCTCAGTCCGGCGTAGCAGGTTCCCCAAAATGTGATCCTTACATGTTTGATGATGCGAAATCTGTTCATTTCTTGCCTTAATTTGTGGTAGGAAGGCAAATAAATACAGGAAACATGACATTTTTGTGCCGGGCGTGTGAAAATACGATAGTTCTTAGCAGACAGTGCTACTACCAGTATCAAAAAAATTGTATTCGGTTGTCTATTGTATCATCATCATCTTTGTATTAGTACCAAGCATTGCATCGAGTAAATTGGTGCCGTAGAGATGTGGCGATCGAGCAACAGCTAGTAATAAAAGATTCAGTTCAATTTTCGAAACTGTCTGCGGAGCCGATCTTGATGTTTATTTACTCCTCCTCGCGCCTAATTTATGATGGGATGTTGGACGCGGGATCTGGTGCCATCACTGCTTGGGTAAATTTAAGCAAGTCTGCGGCTGCTTTCGCACGGAACTGGACCCCAGTTCGGTGCTTTCGCGCCTTGTTTCCATTGGTGGGAGCTTGGATCCAGACGAATCGTTTAATTAAACTACTAGTCCCTGCAACGCAAAGAAACAAAAAAGTTGATTACTGTACAGAGCATCTGCGCCCAGATCTACCTGCTGGAATGGAAGAAACACCGCTGTTACGGCTGCTAGTGACAGTTTTTCCAGTGTTTTCAATTGCTCAAGAGAGCCCGAGATCTGCTAATTTAGTGTAGGACTAGGGAAAGTCCTGAGATGCAAGTGCATCAATACATGTTGCCATCATGCCATGTGCTGTGAATTTAATCCTGCCGAGTACAGGCATGTGCACCGAGTCAAATTTCTTGTACTGGCGGTGCATCGTTCAATGTCTCAGATTCTTGCATTGCCTTCGACCTACCGACAGTTGCACACTTGCACTACGGAATCAACCATCGAGAGAGACACGTCATTATTCGGGCGTCTATCCAGGGATCCAGATCGGAGCTTTGTGTTTTTCACCTTTTCCATTCACAATGGTGTAAATGTACGCTTATTTTGCTTCCTGTAACTTCAAAAAAACTAGAGCCAAAGAGCTCCAGCTTAAATGTACATGAAATATTTATAGCCAGTGTCATGATACTAGTATATGATACTCCCCATTACGACCAGCTTAACCTAGCGGGGGGCGGTGGCGCGGCGCGGCGGCGGATATTCGCAATGGATGTATCAGTACCACCTGTCTCCACCGACGCTCACAGCTCAGTAAGCGTTACTGCGTGAAGAAATCCTCCAGCAGATGACCTAGCCGACATTGTTTTTGGCGTTTCGCAAATTCCCGGTCACGTGAACTGTGGTGTGGTGGACGCTGTGCTTGCCGTTTCGCCAGGCCGCTCCTACTTCCTTGGCTGTGCGGCGTATTCACGACTGTGCGGTGCGGTGGTTACACGCGCACCATGACGGGACCTCAATGCCTGGCCTGTGCTATCGAGTAGCGGACTACCTGCTTCCTTCTCGTCAGAGTCCACGTCCACGACCTGGCCGTCGCCGGAGAATTTTATACTTCAGATGTTGCAATGAATTTTCTCACTGATTTGTTGTGGCCAAGCTGGGTCAGTTGCATACATCACATTTTTTTTTTGGATGGATGAGTCCAAAATATCTCAACATTTTAGCACGTTTTCAACAGATCGGGAGGAAAACATGTTTTGAGGATGTTGCATATATAGGATAAAACAAGACACATAACTCCGGTCCCTTTTTTAAGAACAAGACACATAACTTTCTTGTTTGTTGCGGAACAAAAAAAGTCCTTGAGGCAAATCAGATGCACATGAGGCGGCTGATAGGGCGCTGCCTCCACTAGACCAACAACTAGCACAAGCCAGGAAAGATTTGTTCACAAATGCATTTCATATAAGAATCGAATACCACAATTATCAAATCTAACACGATTTTTTCCACGGGAACTCGAAGAATTCATGGAACCAGATGTTGTATAGAAACCGGCAAGTTCATCAACCACACAACATGGTTTAGGTGCACGTCCCGAATACCCAATGTTGCCAAATCATGAGCTGGTTTGTTAAGAGTCACACAATGTTGCCTCAACGTACCCGGTTGCTTCCTCTCTACTAGAAACTTGTTGGACCCCAAGCGTAAGGGTATGTAGCAAGCATCAATTTTCCTTAAGTGACCCTATGGTTTCTCGAACCAACAAGAGCTAAGCATCACAACCAATGATTAATACCTTCACACACAAATGTAAACTTCTTTCTGTCCCGAGCAGAACTAGTGAGGTTGTCAGTCTCACTAGCTTTTCTAGTTACAAACGGCAATAGAAACAAAAAGGCTTTGGCCTTGCTGACAAGTTGACAGAATGTAAAATCAAGAAATTTAAAGAGCGTTGACGGAGATTGAAAGCGTTATGGAAGAAAATGGACCGGAGTCCATAGGTTCACTAGATGCCTCTCTCAAAAAGAAAATATGGTGTGATAAACAAACACAGTTAGGCAGCGATTAAATTATTATATTTTTTATGAGTATGAATATTCATGGCATAATTAACGTATGAACATCACGTCTGTAAATGTATCGAGCGTTATCCAACTGTCTCCATCCAAAACTGCAATTCAGCATGCATCTTAAAGTACTAAGTAAAAATGGAGTATTGCAATGAGTATGATGACATGAAATAGATGATATATTGTCTTCACCCTGTGTTTAAAGGACAACTACACAACCATCTTTTTATCCCAAAGCGGCAACAACACAAATACAAGCCTTTTCCACTTTCTGTCACTGCGGTACCTTACTTGCAAGGTTGAACCCAATTATCATACACAACTCCCTCTGAAGATCAAGCCCCAAACTTGGCCAAAGAAAGAGAGAATGGATTGGAGAGTCTATATAAATAAGAATTATACAACAAAGAAACCAAATAGATTTAAAAAAAATCATGAATAAGTTTGATCAAAAAGTGACAATTCATATATCCAACAAACACAACATCAGATTACATCAGATGGATCACAATCATGGAGATAGCTCATGTGATCTTTATATTGAGAAACAAGAGGAAGAGAACATCTAGCTACTGCCACAGACTCAAAGTCCAAACAAAACTACGCACTGGCGATCATGATGGCTTTCAAGTTGATGGAGATGGCTACCGTGAAGAATCTCCCCCGGCAAATTTCCGACAAAGACCTCCAGATTGGATCGTGAATAAACAAAGGTGCACGGCGGCGAAAAAATCGGAATGAAAAGTCCTGAGGGCTTACAAAAGCATATGAAGGCACGGGGACTGAGTGAAGGTACATCGGAGCAATAAGGGGAGCACGCGGCAGTCCCACGCGCACCCTGACGCGTGGGGGCCTGGCCTATGTCAGTTACCCCCGGAAGTTCATAAAATGTTCGTGAATTAAAAAAATATACATGAATTGATAAAATATTGGAAAACTTCAATTTTTTCACCATTTTGAAAATATAATGGAATTAAAATATATTCATGCATTTAAAATTCATACGTGAATTATAAAAGTATTTGCAGATAAAAGAATGTCACATAGTTATTAAACGATAGTGAACTTTAAAAATGTTAATTTCCTATTCGCAAAATATCTTTCTGATATTTACAAAAATGTCCGTCTTGTATCGGAAAAGGTTTCATCACGTATTCAAAATATGTTCGTCATGTATTCGGCAATTTTTTATGCTTGTTAGTAAAATTGTTGCCAGTTTATTTTGAAAATGTTCATTTTCTAACTGGAATAAATGAGTAATGAAAAAACTCCATCACATACAGGATTTTTTTTTCATAATATACTAAAAAACTATTCATTGCGTATTTGGAAAATGTTTGTCACATATCAAAAAATTGCTTGATGTATATTAAAAAAAGTTCATTCGTATGCAAAAATGGTTGTATTGCCATTATAAGAAATATTGTGTATAAAAAGTGTAACTTGTTAGTGTAATTTAGAAGGTGTTCATGTATTTGAAAATAATTGTTATATTTTGAGAAAACATTCACACATTTTGAAAATAATGGGCATGTACAAAAGTGCTCGTGCACTTTTACTTAAAAATAATTATTTTTCAAAACTGATGGCATATTTCAAAATTTTCAGTTTATCTAGAAAATGGAAAAACAAAGAATAAAGAATAAAAAATTAAAATATAGAAGTAAAAAAACAGAAACATGAAAATAAAAGTTGGGAAACTTAAAAACAACGAATAAAAAGAAGATCGGGGACAACAAGAAACCTGTAGATAAAACCGGACAACAGAACCATCTGTAGAATAATCACAAAAAATACAAATTTGGGCCTGCCCTGTAGGCGAGTTCAATTTACAACTCGCAGCAGGAGGGATTTAGCTTTTGCGAGAGATTGACGTTAGACGCTTTTGGGGCGCCAGTCTCCTGGGAGCAACCATGTGAGGAGTACTCATTACGGGGCTCTCGCAAAGGGTCACTAGCGCGTCACTTTACGCGCTCCCAGCTACCGCCAGTGTCGCGTGCTGTGCACTTTGTTACTTTTTGAGGTGGTTCTGGGTTTTAGATGTTTTTCCGGCTTTTGTCCTTTTTTTCATAAGTTTTTGTAAAAGGATTGATTTTTTTTTTGCATGAAAAAAATGCTTTTTTCTTTTCGTGAGAGGAATAGATTTACTTCTCGTGGAGGCACTCACTTGCTTCGTTGAGTGGCATAGCAGTGGCTCTCAGAAAAAGGAAAAAGGCACGTGCTTTTTTTTGTGCTTCCACTAGAAGCATAGACTTACTTCTCATGGAGACACACATTTGCTTACGCGAGAGGCACAGTTGTTCCTCTCGAAAAAAATAATATATTTTTTGCTACCGTAAGATGCACAGTTTTACATCATGTGGAGACACTGATTTGCTTCCGTGAGAGGCACCGCCGTGCCTCTCAGAAAAGAAAAGAAAATATTTCTTTTTCACGAGAGGAACAAATTTACTTCTCATGTAGGCACAC